TTCAGAATATGGAAGAAGTGATCAAGCAGTAGAGAAGAGAGAAAGGAAAAAGAGACCTACTTCACAAAAAAACAAGGAATGTGAAATTGTAAGGTTTCTTGGAGTCTCACATTGTTGCTGGGATTGGAGTTTCTTGTATTCCCACACCTCTTCCAGGAGCATTCCATGTGCCATTTCTCTATATCTTGGCAGTTCAAGAGCTCCCTGAAGGTCCAATAGGTTTCCACAGACCAGCCAATCTGTTCATCTTAAATTCCTTCTTCACTTAAGTCCTCTGTGTTTCCTTCTTCTCTGGTTCCCTCCATGAAGGGCAGTAGACCCCTCACATTTTTGCAGCCCTCAGCATTCTCTGACTGTCAGTGGGCAAATATGTTTTGGGGAGGTTTTCAGATGTGAGACAGGAAAACTGGGATGTGTAAGCATGGTAACAGTTGCTGTAAATCTGTTTTGCCCTGAGACAATATCTAAGGCATTGGAAGCTGGTACCAGTAGTAACTACATGATGGAGCTCCATGGTTTCCTTGCTTGCCTCTCTTGGCTTTCATCAGAATCATTTGGGTTCACTCCACTGACATTTAGATTATTCTCTGAGATTTTGGAATTGGTTCCACTTAATAAAATATGGAAGGGTTAAGAATTTGAGCTAGGGCTTAATTGCCTTCAGCTAGTGATTATAGGACTAACAAAGATCTCACAAAAAGTGATTGATAAAGACCATGACTCCCGCAGAGGCAATCCACTACATATTAAGCTTGCAGAATCTGTCTTCTGCCTCTCATTTTAAAACTAAGAATTTGTGTTTGTACCCATTCTTGGTTTCTCAGGATATTGTCTCTGTGTCTGACAGCTCAGTGCTACCTCTTCAGTAGTGGTTCCAGGCTGGATCCCATTCCAGCTAGGTAGCTTGAAGGCTCCTCCAGGACTCTAAAAATATTTTGAAAGGACTCACTCTCTTCCCAAAAGTGCCTATGTGGCCCACCATTCTCTTCAGGTTCTTCTTCTACCAGCACAAAATGTTTGTCCTGCACTTTGTAGACAGGTTTCTCCTCTTCTTTGGGCAAATATTAATCAAAAAGCTGGGCCTCTGGAGCCAAGGGTTGCCTTGGTAGAAGTCTGTCCCTGGTTTCATTCAAATGCCCTTAAACTATGCAAAAGTTTTTTGGGGAAAATTATCTTGATTTCACAACCAGCAAAGGGTGTGACATCTCTCTTCTTCACAGTCACATTGTGAGGCAAATTCAGTAACTCTTACTCCTTGAGAATGACAGTGAAAAGTATTCCTATAAATGTTTCCATTATATTTTTCCTTCATTAAACATTTCACCTCTCTTACTAAGAAATTCCCTCAACATTAATCAATAGAAAGACTGAATGTAACTTTGGTCATGGGTAGAGGAATACTGTAAAAGGACAGATTTTTCAACCATATTTGTCACTTCATAGTCTTTTAGGGCAAGGCAAGTGTCCTAAAAATGCCACAGCAGCTCACAAGCAGGTTTATATGTGATCTTCTACCTCTGAGTGTGACCACCATGTAATTTGACTTCTCAGGTGTAAGAGGATGACACTTTAGTGAGCAAATGTCTCCCCTTCTCAGTTTGCAGTTTTCACCATGGGGCAGCTCACTTACAAATGCAGAAGGATGAACACTAGATGGAGACAGATGCTCCTGCCACTGGGTGCAGAAGATTTCCTGTGGCGAGCTGACATTTCCTATCAAACAAAGAGCTAAGGCTAATGAGGTGCTGACTGTTCTGAAGCAGCAGGAGGATTTAAGCATTAGAGAGGTTTTACTCCCCCCACGTCATCTCAGACCTCAGCAAGCAGCTTTTGAAATTTGAGCTTTGCTGTCATGTGAATGTCGTATTAGCTCATAGCAAAGATGCAGGTTTATATGAGATATTGCATAAGTCATGCGGCTTCAAAAGGGTGTATCCAGTGAAAGGGTAACTTCCATTAATCTCTTTCTACTTTTCCTATGCCTGTGATCAAAGGTCTTTGCTAAAGCCAGAATTGTATTTGACTTTTCTGACCTACCTTCACTTTTCCATAACATATCCTGAAGACATACTCACTGCAACACTGGAAGAAAACCGTATAAAAACAGAGGTGAGTGAAAGGTTTGGAGCTGGGATGAGATTAATATCTGGAAGTTTCGAGTTTTTTTCAGACTGTATCAAACTATCTTCCTGTCTGAAGCATTCAGCAATCTTATGATAAAATCTCCATATTAAACGAGGCATGATCGATGGAGATATGTTAATAATTCTGGATTAGAGATATCCTTGTACTCCAGATGAACATCCATGAACTTCCTGTTTTGAAATTCAAATCTGACTTTGAATACAATAGTTAGTACATGATCAAACAAACAAATAAACTCCCATAGATGCCCCCGAAAAGCAAACAAACAAAATCCCCCGACTTTACTACTAAAAAAAGTAACAACCCAGTACTTCTAGTGCGAAGGGAACATTAGAAAATTCTGTTCCCAGAGGAGTCACAAAGGCTATGCTTGCATGTTTTTAAAACAAAACCCTTACCTCTGATTGTTTGAAAAAAACCTGTGAAAGACAAATAGAATTGCACAAGAACTGGCCTGTGGGAGGCAGCAGAGCCTGGGAAGGGAGAGCAGAGATGTTTCAGGAGATGAGCCCCAAGCTGAGTGAATTTGAGTGACTCATCACCACCTGTCTGCAGTTCTTCACACTGAGGTCACTGGGAAGTACCTAGGACACCTACATGTGAAAAGGGAGATATATGGCTGTGCAGGGATGCCAAGAGTATAGATGTTCTGCCAGCTGACACCCTCTCTCTCCCCCAAGAGGGTCTGTGTGTCCACATCTGAGACAGATCTGAGCTCTGCTCTGGCTTTGACCAACAGTAGCAGGAACTTTGAGGAAATGTTTTCATCAAGGTGGACGTTCACTTGCCCAGAACAAGTTAAAAAAAATCAGTTCTGCATGAAGCAAATGGATTAAAAAAAGAGTATGAGGATTTTTCCTCAGGGAAATGAAATGTAATAGACAATGGTGTACTTCATGACAACTGATAAGGAAAGGTCATACAACAGAGGAGAATTCACAAAGTTCAAACTTTCTTTTCTAAATCATTCATTTTTCAAGTAGCATGTTATTTCATTTTATTTTTTTTTTAATGGAGGGAGGCAGTGACATGAATATGCATTTATGTAAGCATACCTGAGCAAAAAGATTTGGAAGACTGTCTATGTCATAAATGAGTGCACATACAATAATCACCAGTTCAAAGGAAAATGAGACAGTGAAGATCAGTTGAACACATTATTAAATCAGTATGTTTTGTGGAAACAAGACCAATGAAGAAAAACAGCCTGGTGAAAAAGTGCATTAGCCAGATATGTTGGGGTTAAAGTCCATTCTTTGCCTGACCTAAAAGCATTTGGGATGATAAACTAAGCTGAAATCTAATTCAAAGAAAATCAAAGACTGCAACAACTCACACTTTGTCAGAAATAGGGGGAAGATTTGTTATTTTTCTACTGCAGAATGAAAAGCATTATCTGCTATATAATAAGACATGGCACTTTGTGAACAACTCTGCACAGTTATGTTGCCTTACCTCCACCATTCCTTGGCTTTACAAACAAAGCAAATATGGGGAAGCTGACAAGAAAACACATTGATTTTTTTGGAGGGAGCACTCCAGTCCACATAAACAACTTCACTGCAGCTCTGAATTTCATTCATGCACTGAGTAAATTACTTCTTTAACATTTTGTAGTGAGATAGGTTGCTCTGACAAAGAAGCAAAATAAGGGATTTTTGATGAATGTAGAAGTGAACATAAAGTCAGAGTCTCTGAGGAGAAATCCTTCACCATTAATTATCACCAGCAGAAAAAAAGTAAATGGAGCACTGGCATTCTCAAAAGCTGATATGATCACCTCCTTTTGGCTCCTTAGGCAGTGAGAAAGATGGGATTTCTTCTGAGGAAAGGCTCCAAGAGAAAGTAAAAAAACATTATTTTTCCCAGTGTTGTAAAACTTTAGATAAGGTGCACTGAGAGCTGGAGCCTGCACTTCTGATTTCAAAAAGGTAAGGTTCACGTATGGACAGTTATCTGCTAGGCTAATAATTAACTCCATAAAATATAGTATTTGTTATGACTATGACTTCAAAATCAGGGACTTGTTTCTTATATAAGGCATCCTCTTTTTTTTCTCTAAAAATTTGTTGGTTTTTTTTAATGTAATAATTTTCTTCTTTGGAAAATTGAATAAACTCAGCTGCACTGGCTTTAGCTCAAATGATTAATTAGTTCCAATAGAGGCAGTTGAACGTTTTCCGAAGTTTGTCTTAGATAAGTATTCAGAAGACTGATGCTTATTCAAATGTTGTCCAAACTATGTGAACCTGTTTGGCACAGAAACACTGAAAGATTAAACCTGAGAGCCTTTTACTACATGCTGGAATGACTGCTCTTCTTGTAGTGAGAGATGCCTGATTGCTGCAAACACAGACTTGGAGAATATTTGTTCACATTCCAGCATTCAATTTGTCTGTAATTCTCTGTCTCAACCATTTTCACACAGAGAATCTTTATTTGTAATGCCACTATTTTAAAAAAAGTCAGTTCTTCACTTATGTCTATAACTGGAAAAGAGTATTAAGAACAAATAATTATTTTGTTTAGAAACTTTCAGCAGTCCAGTCAGAGACCAAAATGTTTGGTCTGAACCCCCTGAACAATGAATGCTGAAGAGGTAAAATTAGTATTCATGAAAATCCAAATAATACAGGCAAGACTACAAGCATTTGGTATGGAGAAAGAAAGCTTGATTCAGAAAATTTTTGGTCAAAAAGTTTAAATATGTCAGATTACTTTTCTTATATTTTTGCCTTGTTTAGTAATTCAGACCCACTTTAGTGCTTCTCAGACTTAGAGTACAACAAATCAGGTGTTGCTGATGATGGAAGTTTAAATGGTGACTGTCCTTAAGCCATAGTTTCCTGAGCTTTTAGATCATATTGCAGAAACCTTCTTTGTCCTTCCACTTTATTTTTGGTTTTCAAAGTAAACTCATCTTTTGAGAATTGATTAAATCTTCCAGTTTTCCTGTATGCCAGGAAGGGCATTCTCTGACATCACCATACCAAATCCTCAGAGAAACACCAGGGGAAAAGCACTGAACCACAGCTTCTCAGCTTTAATTGCACCAGCCCAGAAAGATAGGGATCAGATGCAGAGTTTCTTTACACTTCAAAAGCAAAATAAGCCAAAGATGGTGGTGAAAATATTCAAATTTCCATGAATTAGACTTATATTAGGAATTTGGACCACTTCAGTTGTTGGAGTCTTGAGGAAGCGTCATTTGATAATGCTGCTGTTTGGGAAAGAAGGTGGTGTTAGGGAAATACCAATTCTCCAAAGATCAACCCCTCCACGTCCGAGCTCATGGTGCTGTCAAGGAGGATACAATGCTTGAGGATCCTGCCGCCATGATACTCTTCTTGTTCAGCGAAGGACTGAGGACATCACTTCCTCCCTGAGTCCCACTGCCTTTTAGGACCAGTCCTGGGGTGATACACACACTCCTCTGCCTGGAACAGTGGCTAAAAGTGCAAACAGGACAGAATAAAGAAAAATACAGGGACTGTGTAAGCTACAATCAACACATATTCATAAGCAAGTTTGGTTTTGCTAACCACTCACCCCCTCTTTAAGGTGCAATTAGGCAGTGTAGTTCTTTGGCAGAGAAGAGGGGGAGCATGGTTTGTACATCAGAGAACCTGCTTCCTCTCTCAAGCCGTGCGTCATCGCCTTGGGGGACTGTTACCATAAGCAAGCTCCGAGCGAGTCAGTCCTGCTGTCTCGCCACAAAAGCTTTTTAATACAAACACTGCAGCTGAACGCTGCTCCTGAGCACGGCAGATGTCTGCACTCAGCTATTGACTGACTACTGTGTTTGTCTCATGGGCTGGCCAGTGCTTCTGGTTGACAATAGATATCTAGGCTATGAAGTAATGCTACTGAGAAGCATATAGACATGGAGACTGGTACTGTCTCACAGGAGTTTACTAATCTTTTTGCAGCTTAGTCAGAGACAGCAGACATGAAATCAACAGTACAAGCAAGCTCGGAAATATTTGCTAGTGATTAATCTTTCATGAAGGATAGTATCTTCCTGTAGCTCCTTTGCTTCTGTGTAGTTTTGATATAACCTTCATAGACTTGTAGTGTTCCCTAACACCTTGATGAGCTATTTCCAGTTCTAATAGCTTTAAGCAGAATACCAGGCACCTTATCCAGTTTCCACTCAAACTTCCTTTGGAGCCAGGATGAGTTTGTCTGAACAAGAACAAAGAATCTGAGCATCTTGCTGTACTTATCCGAGGGCTGTCACCACTGACACCTGTGACTGACTGTAATGACAGCTTAAGTTCAAAAACCTTCTCCCCTTTCAACTCAACTGCTTTTCCCATTAGCCCCTGTTCTCATCAGCCTACTGAGCTCTGTACTACAAATTCTTCCTCCAAACAGAGGCAGAGCAAACCCATGTCTCTCTGGGGGCAGGTACAGTGACCTTTGCAGCACCCAACTTACATCAGCAGCCCTCAGGCAGACATCACTTACTGCTGGTGCACCATCACTCATTAGTACCAATCCAGATTGCTCTGTATTCTCTGGGTGTGACATGTATTTTGGTAGCTCCTGAAGATCTCAGCTGGGGTCCAGGCCCCACTGTGATACAGCAAGGCTCATGGCCCCAGTCGTTACACTACAAAGATTAATTTGTGATAACTATCCAAATTTCCACTCACTGTATTTTTTTCAGTGACCAGCTGAATAGCTTAATGCCTTTGCTTTGTGTTGGAGCAGTTCAAGAGGTAAAAACCTTTGCCTGATGGAAACTATCACCACACCACTAAAGGTATACTTCTATAACTTTTTATAGAGAAGGAAAGTCTTGTAACAAAGGTATGATTTCCATGCAAAGGCTAGTGTTTCAGCTTGCAAAAACTTTAAAGCTCTCTGACTTATTCCAGTTCCATATTGTTTCTAAAAGTAAGCTACTCAGCACAAAAACTGAATTAATGTCACAGAATTCAGCTGACCAGGAGGATGTTTATGAATAACAAATGCTGAAACCAATGTATTTCAAGGAAATATGTTCTGTAACCTATGAATGTGTCTTATAATTTCAGTAGTGGGCTTGCTGATGAAATGGAAGCCTGTCTTGGCAACTTGTGAGCAGGCAACAATGTTAGCAACAAATAGATCAGTAATTTGCCTAGCCACTGCAAAAAATTACTGGAGACAAAGTGAATGGACAATGCTATGCTTTCAGTGGTTATAATTATCTAACTAAGTCACTGGACAATTATACTACCACTACACTTTTTTAGACAAATATTATGCAATTATACCACTATACCACTATTCGACTTTAAATAGAACAGAGTGTGTTGTTCTGGTTCCATCTTACTAGTGAGGCAAGCATAATCTTGAATTTTTTGTGCATCCAGCAGGTCATGGAAGCAGAAACAGTGCAGACCCTCTTGCTCCAAATACAGGCTGTCCCTTAAATATGCTTACTGATGCAAACCCACAGGTCACAGTTAAAGACAGCATTTGCATCCCATGTCAGTGACCTCACACAGATAGTGAGTGTTGAGACCAAGATGTAAGGTTTTTCTTACAACTGCACCTATGAAGATCTTGTAGCTCTGCTTTACAAGAGTTTGCTTTTCAAAAATTTGATGAAATGTGGAATCATTCATTAGAATGTCTAATGCTGACACTGGGAATCAAATAAAAAGCAGAGGATACTTGCTTGACTCAGGTTTCCCAATTACCACATCACTCCAGTACAATCAGCCTCACCTTCCTAAAGTCTACTCCTTTGTTAATTTAATTTATCACCTTTTGATTAATGTAGAACTGGGCAGCTACCACCACAGTGCTGTACAAACATTTTGTTTGTTGTATTGAGTACACAGAAACAAGAAGCTCTTTCCTACAAATCACCAGAGAAAAGATTAAATTCTGGAATTGCCTCACAGGCTAAACACTGAACGATATATGCAGCTGCTCCTCCTGGGTCTTTCCATTTGCATAACTTTTTACCAAAAGAGAGTAATATGGAGGAAGAAAACAATAAAGGTGATCAAATATATATGGAGTAGAGTAGCAAAATTAGTAGTAACATTAAGACAGAAGAAAATTGAGAAGAGGGGGAAAGGAAGTGCATTTTCAAGCAAAATGCTTTTGGGAAAGAAGCTTTTGTTGAGTGAGCAAACATTTCTTTATCTTTTTTTGCCCATCTCAACAACAAATTTTTCCTTCCTCTGGGACCCATCTGCATGTTAGGAGGAACATCTGAGTTAGGCTAACTTTTCACATAGGAGAGGTAACAGTATGCTCACAGCACACTGCATCCTTTTTCTGCCTTTTGCCTCATTAGCAACCAAATCCTGTCAGAGCACACCACTAAGGAGACCTTTCTATTACTTACTGTATCCATTGCCTTTCACGCAGATGTTTTGCCTGCTGAAATCTTGCCAGAGAGATTTCTGAGAAATCTCCATCTGTTGTATGACATCCTGAATGCTATGAAGTAGCTAAAGCCCTTATCCAGTCTGACTTGCCAGTGAGATGACTCTGCAGACAAGATGTGTGGGCAGGAATTCTTCTGCAGACATATTTCCACTGAATGCAGTTGCTTTTAGATGAACACAGGTCCATGGAATGGCAGCGAGCCTGTTCTCCCTTGAATCCTTGTTTTTTCAGTGTTGATGATCTGACTTCACAGTGGGCAGTCTGGTAGCAGATGACTTTTTACCCCCAAGTTTTACATGATGAACAGGAAGAGTTAAAAGGAATGAGGCAGATTTCCCTTAATAGAAACAATTATTTTTCTTCAGAAGAAAACTGTTCCTTGATACTTGCTTGGCCATCATGCTGGTAAAAGGGTATGCTGTGACAGATCAAGGACTTTGGAGGCTACTACTAGTAATCAGTAATTACATAATCTCCAGACTATGAAGACAATGAAATCAGCCTCCCTGTATCTTTAGAAGGTGGTACCATGCAGCTGTTAACAGGAATCTATCAGATGACTTGCTCTCTGAAAAATCACAGCACTGACACAATTTAAAACCTGTCTAGGTTTGAAAATGTTGTCTTGAAAATTGTCAAGTTATGCCTATTAAAGAATATGTAAAATACAAAAACATTCAAGATGTGGTGTTATTGTACAGATGATTTCCAGGAAATCCAAGCAGAAAAACCAAACCAACAAAAATCACTTGTATCACATATTTTAATATGTCTTATTCTTTCCTTCTGCAGCTGGGTGGTTGTCTCACATAAATGCCAAGAAACGAATTACAGTATGTACTGTACCTGCAGCTTGTGTGTCCATTATATGTGCAGACGTTTTCCGGGAGTAGATAATTTTGGGCAGGAATTGGTTGCCAACTAAGAAAGGAGAGAAGGAAAAACAAAATAATGTCCCTTAGGTTGGGTGGTACTAGTAAGCAGAACATTATTGGTCTGGGCAGGCAACAGGATCTGGATTTGATGGTGTCACTGACATCTTCTATGAACATGGCACTGGAGAACTATTACAGGAACCACAAATTCAGCATGCATTTAGGATTAGGTCAAGGGATTGAGTAATCCTACAATGGTTGTTGTTATATAACTTGTAAAACTGTGCCCAGGGAACAGAGATGTAACTTAATACTACAGCAGCAATTCTTAACACTGTGACTGCCAAGGGTCAGTTGCTATTGCCATTAAAACCTTCTTTTTGCATCTAATTTAGAACCAGACACTTCAATTCACAGCAGGGCAAAGTTTGGCATAGGCACTATGATTTTTTTCCACTTTAAAGGCTTAAATTAATTAGATAACAACAAAAATATTATATAATTTTAGCTATTTTCATTAATTTAGACCAAGGTAATTCAAAACAGTGAAAGGAGTTTTATAGTTTTAGGCTTGTATTTTCCTGTCTCCACATGGGTTCAGTTTATGTCTCATATATCATTAAGTCACTCACTGTACTGGAAGCCTTTTCCTTTGCAGTCCATCTACTGTTCTGTTTAATATACATTTAATTTACATCCCATTTATTTATTTTTAATCTGAAACATTAGTTCTGGTTCTCAATACCTAATGGTGGAAAATTTGAAGAAGTTACTTTGCTTCATAAGACAAATTACTTTTTTTTCTTCTTTTTCAGTATATTTTCCACTCAGGTTATTTGCTTAGCAGTGTTAACAATTACTTCACAATAAGATTTTCCACTTGTAATTGTCATCTACCTAGAGATTTTTGCTATAGTGCCATCCTGTTGTAAAAATTCTAAAATACATGGAAAGGCTTAATTTGAGGACAAACTCAATTAAAAACATACTTCTTATAAATTACTTTTTATTTTATCGCTTACATAATTGGCATTTACTCAAGAGTAAAAACATGAACATGGCAATCTTGTGTAAAGTAGCATGTAAGAGAAGCTTTGTTTGATTAAGATCACGTAGCTGAATATATTAGACAACACTAAATTCAGGCAGATTATGCCTGGCCTGTGGTCCTGGGCAAAGCTGCATGATTGCAGGGCGAATCACTGGGGTGGGGCTCCACAGGTCATCCCCAAGTGAAGGCTGCCATGCCTTGTGGGCACACAACGCATATTTCGTGGTAACAGGTCTATGACAGTGTAACACAGTGGGAAATATAGAAGCTGAATTTTCATCCCTACCCCCATTGCACCATTTCAGAAGATCAGATGTAGTCTAGGTAAAGGTTGAAGTGTGCTTTGTGCTACTCTTAAAATAGCTATGAGCCTGGACAAAAAAAAGCTGAAACCAAAGACATAACTCATTAATCCTGTTTTTTTGCTAATCTATGGAATTGCATGGAAAACACTTGTAACACATGGAAATGCAAAAATTCATCAGCCTAACACAAAGAAGTTGGACTTTTTTGCCCTTTCTCAGACAGCCTCATTAGGTTTAGTTGTACTTCTTCCAGGATGATTTTGTAGAATAGAGTTTAGAATCACACATACAATGTTTCAGCTGAGCTAACATGGCTAATTGGCTAGTTTTAGCTCTTGTCCTTGAGAATTATTAAAAACAAAATAAGCTTTGTAAACATGACTACTGAGCATTGAAGGGGGCAGATTATGTGATGCTGGAAGGTTATCCAAAATCAGATTATGGATGCTTCAGGTTTATATGAGTTGAAAAAATTTATAACCATTATCTTAACAAAAAAACATTATGAAGGATTACATTATGTAAATATAATTCTGTTATAGTCTTGTATTATCCATGCCTTTGCAAAATGTTTTATTAATCAGTTCATTCTTATTGTAACTATTTAACTGACGTGCATGTTTACACCTAATGTTTTCTGAATTTACAAAACAGGCATTCATAATATAAGAAACAAGTTTTGAGTTCTAGGTGGCAAACAGCATGGGGAAGTAAAATTAAGAAAATTAGTCAAAAGCTGTTGTAATCATTTGGCCCCAGGAGACATCTAAGTTGTTTTTTGTTCCTGTTTCAATTATTATAATATAATTGGAGATGACTTCATAGATCAAGTGTCACTAAGAAAGTCAAGTGTCACTAAGAAACTGCACATTTTATTTAGAATTGTAGGTTTCAAACCTTCCAGAAAGTCAATATTTATCAGGCACACTACATTTAATATTTTTGTTTTCCAAAGAGCCTAATCCGTGATCCAAAACTGAGAACATAGTCAGTGCTCTGTTCAGTCCACCTTTATCTGTAGCTGTGTGCATGGGTTCAAACTGCTGACTGTCAAAAGCAAGCCAGAACTAGAGTCTTGTTAACTTACTATTAAATGTCATTGGTTGCAGTTATTGACATAGCCCTGACCAAATTAAAATTTGGTGGTGGTATTGGTGGTTTTTGTGACTTTCAGTCTTAGAAATTAAGAATTTTCATGTGTTTTTAAACCTACTTTGTTGACAAAAGTGATCTAAGCCTATTCCATCTGCTTCATGGCCTTAATCAGGCACACTCTCAAGTCTTTGCTCAGCCACAGAAATAGAAACAGCATTTTCTTTGATATCTAGGAAAATTTTGAAATTATCTATTTTTTCTAGAGGTAGCAAAAATATTTTTTAGAAGGATCAAGAATCTAAATTCATAAGCATCTTGAACTGCCTTCCTTTTGGTTTTCATTAGCTGTTCCATTTCCTGGATTCAAGCTGCATTTAAAATGCCAGAAAAAGGCCAAGCTAGAACCTAGTTCTGAGATTTCCAAGTGACCAGATGGAAGAACTAGAAATCTCACCAAAGTGTCTGCCCATTGCCCAACCAGTTTTGCAGACCACCTCTTGCCAATACTTACCCAAACTCAGCTGAAATTCCATCTGAAGTCTTTGAAGTCCTTCTGGAAAAGCAATTAAAAAGAACGACTTGTTAATCACTCATTAACTCACAAGTATGTAACTTTATATTGTCACTTGTTGGAACTGTCAATACGGCTCTTTCTATTTTCTTTGGCATTAATGTTTTGACATTTAAAATTCTCAGAACCCAACATCAAGATCTAAATATGAATTACTGGGTTTTTTCTCCTGGTGAGACAGTCACCTATTTTTTCCAGAATTGATTTTACTGTGTTTAGACTTAAAATAGTTTTGGTTCAGCCACCTTAAGTGGGAGCTGTCTTTGATTTTGCAGTACAGAACAGCAAGGACTTTTAGGAGATGGACCCACCAGAGAAGCAGAAGATGTAAAGCCTATATAGAGTTGCCTTGGTCCAACTCCCTGTGACAAGTCACACTGAGAATAAAAGACATAGTTATGAAGAGCAGTAAGCCTTGAGAGCCCTTTTTTTGGCCTTGTTTTTAATAGATGTTATCTGATATCAGTCAAATATAAGAGGCAAGGGCAGGAAAAAAGGGTACAAGGATGAGTCACCAGGCAAACATTCCAGCCTTCCTGCCCATCAGAAGAATTCCTCTGAGGTCAGCCACAGAAATCTCCATCTGTATCAACAGCCCAAGAGAGAGCCAAGAGCATGTAGAACAGACCTGTAAATTGCAAATTGTTCCTTCTATAAATTGCAAGTTGTTCCTTTTGAGACATGTCAACACCTTCTCACACAAAGCACCTCAGCAGTTCTGGGAAAGACAAAAACATGGAAAGGAGTCCACAACTCGTGACAAGACTTGTTAGAGCCAGCATCTTTTGCATGAAACAGTGAAAAGAGCAAGAATAATGAGCAGATGTGATGGTTGCTTCCAAAAATATGTGAAGTTATAGAGAAAGCATGTGGACTCTTATATTTGGCCTTTTTCATAATACAAGAAATATGGTGTGCCAGTGAAATTGAAAGGTAGCAGATGTGAAACAAATGGAAATGTTCTCAGAGATCCTGATTAACTTTAGGAACTCAATGACACTAGACATCACTGAGGTCAACAGTTTAGACCTAGGCAAGTAAAGAAAAAAAGTGAAAACCTTGGCAGCTACTCTCATGTCTAGCTGTAGGGATTCCCCGCTCTGCAGAGTGCATCTATTTCACTTGGTACTTGAGAGGAAACTGATTAAGAAGTTTCTCTCAATATAAGTAAAACAAGGTAATGTTTGCAGAATGGAATCTTCAATTAAGATTAAAAACTTGCTTTAAAAATTGTTATAAAAATTGAAAAACTCTCTGCAACGACTATTTTCAGCACTTTGCTATCAAAGATTCATTGGAAATAGCTATAATAAATTTTATTCTGATCTCCTAGGGGTAGCCCTTATTTTAATGCTGTTGTATTTCAGGTAGAGGACCAATGCTTCTGTTGTGTCTTACATTAGGCTAGATTAACAAACTTGCTAACTGCACAGATACTTGCTAAAATTTTAAGAAAAAACAAGAACTGAAATCTATGTATAATGTTCCAGCTGTCTGCATGTTGAGGAAAAAAGTAAAAATTTAAATGAGCTCACCAAAAATAATGAAGTCTGGCTGAAAACCAGCTGGGCAAGAACAGAATTTAAAATCTGGATTTACTTTGAGTACTGAATCTGATTCCAGTAAAGCTTTAGTATGATTCCAGCAAAAATCCAATTTCCCTGCTGTTGTTTTCTCTGGGAACTACTTTTTAAAACCAGTTGTACCCATGCCATCCCTTCCAGAAAATGGTTTGAACTGGATATAAATAAGGAAAATATTTTGCCCACCATTTTCCTTTTTGAATATCCTGATAGTTGGTGCAGATACTTCTGTCGAATACATCGCTTAGCTAAGATTGAGGAACAGATTGATTCAAGAAAGTCACATTAATATGATAAAGAACAAATTTTTGATGTACACAGTACATGAAAGTGCAATTAAATACCCTTCAATAAATTAAAATCTTTATATTATTCAGTAGAAATTAGAGGGTGATATGAAATCTCCCAATAAATTGTGATGATGTAAGCAAACATAAATGTACCTTAAACAGAAAATCAAGAAAAGATTAGGGGGAAAGTATTCTTTTTAATGGCATGCTCTTGTAGCCAAAGGAGCAGTGTAATGAACCTTTCATTAATAATGATCAAAAACATGTTTGTGAAAAATCATTTGACACATTGTAGGTCAAATGACAAAGCCAACAAAGAGTACAGGAATAGATTTGCCAACCTGTGAAAATAGAAGAATGTTATTATAGTTTGTAAAGCAAGGACAAATGAGGAATTGAATAAATTACACACACTGTAAGGGAAGAAAACCCTATACAGCAAATTGCTTTGAAATATAGAAATATTGTGACTTTCATCAAGTCAAAGAAACAGTGGTATGAAGTTGTCGCACAGCCAGTGGAACAGTCAGCTGTCCTTCTGAAAGCACAGCCACATATGAGCTAAAGAATTAATTTTATTCCAGTCTAAATGAATGCCTGGTACAACATAAAATGCTGCAAAAAGAAGCTCTTTTGATAAATCACCATTACATGTTGTTTGTAGATTAGACCATATGTTCACACGAAGGAAAACATTGCCCAGAACTATTTCTAAATTGCTACCATTACATCAGCCCCCAGTTATAAAAATAATAGAGAACCTTTTTCAGATAAAGTCATTCCTAATTCAGCAGAAGGAAATGGATTGCACAAAAACATTATTGCAACAGAAAACAGGATTTTATTGCCCCCACAAGGTCTCGGGATATTAGCAGGGACTCAGTGAACGCAATCACACAGCAAAAATGCAAGCAATGTATTTGCCAGGAAGCATCCCATTGACTTTGCTACCAAATTTGGAGACGACCTTGGAGCAAGAGCTGGAAAACTGAAAATAAGTAAATAAAAAGGAAACATCATTATTGAAAGGAAAAGAGATGAAAATTTGCAGCTTTTTAGAGACATTGAAAAAACTAAAGAGCACCACAAAATGATTCACAAAGCCTGAGAATGAGAAGGTTGCATTTGACAAATATATTTCAACATTTTAAAGAAAAAGATGCTATTTTAGAGAAAGAAGCCATGATGAAATAAAAACACATGATTATCTGAATACATTAAAGGGAAATTTACAACTTGATTTTTGGGATATTTTTTACAGAAAAATATCCCAAAAATACAATTGAAGAACTTCAAACATTGTATTATTGTCTTTGAGAAAGATGGGACACACCAAAGATATTGAGAAGTTTCTAAGATACACTGATAAATATGATAGGCTATGGGTTACACAGTTTTGAATGAAAAGAGACCAACAGTGGGCTATTTTCAAGAAAACTACTTTTCATATCAATTTTTTATTTCTTTTTTTCATAAAATTAATGTCACTTTAAACATAATTTGCATTTTTCCTTTAAAAATTTTAATAATTTTTAGAACATTAAACTAGTAACTGGAAAGGTAGTTTTCTTTTTTTCATCATTTTTTGCCTGGAAGAAAATTGCAAAAGAATTTTGGAGCTGATTTTGGGAGCTATGTAAACAAATATTTCATCAAAAGTTACAGGAAAGTAAAAGGGATCATTTAAGCAGTAGGAAATTGGAGACAACTTTAAAACTGCTGGGCAGACAAACAAGAGATGCATTCTGCTCCCAAAATACTACTTTGCTCCCAAAGTTCAATAAGTCACATCATCATTCTGTGGTTACTTCTTCTCTCACCTTTTTTCTTTGTTCTGAAGAGAGATTATATGGTCTGAGACAGGATTTGATCCTTATGAATTTATATGACATGTCACAAAAAATCTCCAAAATCAAGTGCAGTCTAAAAGCAGCAGATCAATAAAGAGGGATAAAGACACATTTTAATATATTTAGATAAGCTAAATATCAGGTGTTCAATGAGAAACATTGAAATAATATATTTCCTTTTGCTGGCATCTTCAACTGCAGTTGTCCTCATAACAAATTTCTGAAATCCCTGTGGAACATGTAGAATACAGCCAGTAAGGAACTCAGTGTAAACACTCATTCATTTGTGAAAAACAGATGTGTTTCTCACAACTGGCATTTTAGAATAATAACACCACACACCTAGCCATGAAGAGGAAGTTCTTCAGGATTTATCAAGACCGTGGGAAGAAGTAGCTTTTAGAGTAGTATGAGCTTCTGGACAGCAAGAGGCAAGAAGTTGGCTACTCCTGTGTTCATTGACAGTGACAGAATAGAAAATAACCAAAAGCTATTGGAAATACTTAATGTTAATACACAGGAAACCTTGAGAATTTTTTGTAGTCTAATGCTTGTCTGAAGAATAATTCCATTTACTTTGTCATTTGGCTTCTCTGCCAAGTTTTTCTGAAGCCAGTCCAGAAAAGACAGGCCCACATGTAGCAGCACTTCTATCTGTGATTCTTGAACATGAAAGATCAAAAAAGAGCAAAGTTCTCTCATCAATAAAATCTTTCTTATTTATAGAATTCCTTCTTTGTTCCAAAGGTATGACTCTGTGTGGTCATGGCTCATCATCAGAAAAAAAAAAAAGAAAAAAAAAGGACTTCTACTGAAAGAAAATAATATTTTTTCCCTCTCAGTAGGTGATTTTCTCTGAGGTCAGCCAGGTATGTGGGACTTTTTGTTTTTCCCACAGTATTGTGATTTGTTTCCTGTTGATAGGAAATGTTAACTTTTGTGGTAGGAATATAATTTGCTTTGGAAGTTGTAATATAACTAGTGTCCTAAGTCTTATTTTTTTTTCAAATTAGCAAAAGTTTGGAATACCCCAGAAATAAAAGGCTGAAAAAAATTACAGAGAAAAGCATATTTACTACAATTTGGAATTCTTACCTAATTCTTTAATTGGGTGCAGTGGTTATGACATTTGCAGTAATAGTATAGAGCCTACAGTACTTTTTTAACAGTAAATACTACTTTTAAAACCTTGCACAGAGTCTTAGTTTAGTTTTTGATGATAGGCTCTATAAACTAAAAGCATATTTAAAATACACATACTACAAATATCAGTAAGGAATCCTGTTCAAATAAAATGAACAAAATTCTACCAATGGATATATCAAGACTTAATAATTTCTAGAGTAGAAAAACAATGATAATCCAGAGCCAGCCAACTACTGTCTGTCCTTGATGTTTATGTAACCAGCAACATTTATAAGAAAAGCTGCAGTCACATCTTAAAGCCTTTTAGTGGGAACAAGTCAAGAAAGTTTCTCAGGTGTTCCAGCCACACAATACTCTGAGAAGATAATTTCTGACAGTCTGGAAACACAAGCAGGAAGGTATTTATGAGATAATGGGATAGCTGCTGGGTTTTGTGGTTTGTTTGGGTTTTTTTAGTTCTCTTTACTGTACATGTCCAGTTTGCACTGTGCAAAGT